TCGGGCGTTTAAACTTAGTTTAAACTACGGCCGTGCGCTGCAAAACTGGCCCTTAGAGTACATCGCACAATTTACAGACGACATTCAATACATTTCTGGAAAAGAAAACATAGTTGATGATACCCTTTCACGTATTCCAGATGTTATCACGATTTTAGCCCAAGACATAAATTTTCAAACATTATTCGAGGAACAACAAAAAGATCAAGCACTTTATGACATAATATCTGCTCAAAATTCCAGCAGAAATTTAAAAGGAATTAATATTCCAGTACTTAACCTTAATATTTGGTGTGATATTTCTCAACAACAAATGGTCCAAGTTCCGAATTCTATGAGAAAAATCATTTTTGATAAAATTCATTCTTTATCTCATGCCGTATCATCCGTATAACTAGACGTTTGACTCAATCAAAATATTTTTGGCCTAATAAATATGCGCAAAGAAATAAATAATTGGATTTCTATTTGTATAAAGTGTCAAAACTCAATTATTTCTAAACATACTAATGGCCCTATTATGTATGGCGACTGGGGTATAGTTGCTGGTCTAGTAGGCATGGCTATCAGTATCGTAATTTGTATTATGTATGGCGATTAGTCTCAGTATACAGAAAAGCGCAGACAACATCCTTTTGTTTAATTTTTTGACGAGTACATTTTGAAGTAATTGGCAACTTTGTTCAAATGTGTATGAGAATTCATGTAAAAACATTGAAATATAAAAATAAAAATGTTCAGCAGCTTTGAATTATTTTTTACAAGTCGAGAAGAAAGCGCAAATATCGCTTTAATACGACGACACATAAGAGATCGTTCCAATCCCTTGGATCTACCAGTTGTGAAGTAATTGTTATTATTTCCTTAACAAATGCATATCTCCAGGTTCATAAGCAATTTTCGCATATCCAAAGAAGCCTTTTTATATTTGCTGGAAGAATTATCTCCACATTTTAAAACTAACTACCGGTCAACAGCTGTACCTCCACTGCTCAAACTTTGTGCAGCGCTGCGTTTCTTTGCGGAAGGAAGCTACGAAAAATTCCAAGGAAATGACTTCAACATTGGCATCTCACAACCCACGATGTCTATCGTACTTAATGAAGTGACCACCTTGATAGAGCAGAAAATTTGCCCAAAACACACAAAATTTGATATGAGTGAAGAGGAGCAGAGCAACAGCAAAATACACTTCTATAATAACAGTGGATTTCCACGTGTCATAGGTTGTGTAGATGGAACTCATGTCCACATTTTAGCGCCTATAAAGGAATTGCAACATCTATACATAAATAGAAAAGGATACTTTAGCATAAACGCGTTAATGGTAAGTGAATTGACGTATGTTTGTTTTGGGTACTTAAAAATTTCTTACAACTTAGGTTTGCGACTACAAAATAAATATAACCTATGTCGATGCCAGACATCCTGGATCCACACATGATGTCTTTATATGGGACAACAGCACACTCAAAGAAATGATATCAAATATTGCATCAGAAAACACGTGGCTTTTAGGTAAAACCATTTTAATGCATAATCTAATTAGTGCGCCAATTAACAAATGTGTTTACTGCTTTAGGTGACGCTGGATTTCCGTTGGAGACATTTCTGATGACTCCATTTCGAGCCGCAGAAAGCGGCAGCCCAGAATGCAGATACAATAAAGTGCATTGCAAAGCCAGGAACATAATAGAGCGAACTTTTGGTGTTTTGAAGCCGAAATTTAGATGCCTATATTCCGAGCGTGGGCGTCATTGTGCACCAGAGAAAGCGACTGCAATGATAAATTCATGTTGTGCCATTTATAACATTGGACGTATGATTATAATTATCGGTATACAGACTGCGATACCGAAACTGATATTGCAGAGATGGAGAAAAGTTTTAATTTTGAAACAGGGAGACAAATCTTGTAGCTCAAGAAATAAGATGTAATTTAATGAATTCTTTCACGGAATAAAACTTTATTACTTAAAAAGCAAAAAAAAATATCAACATTCAGTTCACTTCAGTTCTGTAGATTCATACATATGCATATGTATGTATATTTATGTAAGTACATACTAGTATTACAAAGAGCCTCCTTAAAGTAATTTCAATATTTTAAAATAAATTCACATTCAGTTTTTCTCTCAATTCACTTGGTGAGATCCATAGTAGACAAAATAAAAAAACACCTAAAAATCAAGAAACTTCAAAACTACAATATTTTTATCGCATATTATTTAACTGACATTCGATGAGCTGAATTTTTTTCTTTTTAGTTCAGCTTCTATCTTCATATTTTTTTTGCTATTTGAAATTTTCCTTTTTTCAATTTGTAGCTTTTTTCGGCATATTTACTCATTTTATAGATATTTTTCTCGATCCTTTTTAAAGTTTGTGCTATTTGCAGTTTGCGACTCTAACATATCCACTTTAATTTCTTCCGTACTTTTCTTTTTTATATTTCTTATGCGCATACTTGTATTTGCGTTTGTTGAAAGGTTTGGGAAAATTTTCCAAAACGGAACCCGACTTTTAAAAAAGGCTCCGGAGGCTTATACTTTTTATGAAAATTGAATTTTAAGTTGCAAAAAATGTCAACTTCAACCTCTCTTTTTGCTTTGTAAACCAATTATACTACAATGTCGGTGATGCCACACAACAAAAAATGCCCAAAAAAAGCACTGAAAATGAGAAACAATAAAAACGGGCATTGTAATAAATTTTTTTTTAATTAAATATCGATGTATTGATAAAAAAAAAGCTGAGATTTCCATTACGGAACCAATTGCTATTCCGTGCAAAGTATAGTGAATTTTTTTATGAAACTCGGTGGGGATACTAATGGAGGTCTCCTTTAACTATATTTATCACTTTCACAGTGTTGTTGCTAATAGTACTTAAGTTATTTGTTGTTAAAATATCCAGCCTGCTATCACCACATTTTATTATAACTCCACACCTATCACTTTTATTTACACAAATATATTATCCTTAAAAGGTTCACATGCGTTTGTAATACCTTAATATACAATTATTAATTAATTAGTTAAGTAAAACGCGTTAATAAATGTCTTCACAAACGTTTGCACATTTCACAAACAAGCAGAAATAACAATGGCTGACAGTAACACAAAATGTATGCTACCATACGTTAAAAAAAATACACCACAAATAAGTGCGTATAATTAGGGGTATAAGTGTACAATACGTACATTGCTCTTATATATTAGGATCGGTAGGGGTCTTACTCCTGATCATAACGATATAATTTTTTTCGGGGGGAAATAATATTTACTTGTGTTATTATAGTTCAAAGTACACAAATGTAGAAAACGAACATCGATAATTTGATACAAATTGAAAATTTTTAATAAAAAATCGCGCGATTTTCGCCTGCGGCGCTTTTTCCATAAAAATCAATACTTCGATAAATAACGAAAATCTTTAATAAAAAATCCCGCGATTTTTTATTAAAAATTTTCGCCTGCGGCGCTTTTCCTATAAAAATCAATACTTCGATAAATAATGAAAATTTTTTATAAAAAATCGCACGATTTTTTATTAAAAATTTTCGCCTGCGGCGCTTTTTTTCATCAAAATCAATACTTCGATAAATAATGAAAATTGTTAATAAAAAATCGCGCGATGTTTTATTAAAAATTTTCGCCTGCACCGCTTTTCCCATAAAAATCAATACTTCGATAAATAACTAAGCTAACATTTTTATTACAAAATCTCTCGTTTTTAGACTGAATCACTTTTTTTTTATCAATACATCGATATTTAATTAAAAAAAAAAATTAATTACAATGCCCGTTTTTATTGTTTCTCGTTTTCAGTGCTTTTTTTTGGGCATTTTTTGTTGTGTGGCAGCACCGACATTGTAGTATAATTGGTTTACAAAACAAAAAGAGAGGTTGAAGTTGACATTCTTTGCAACTTAAAATTCACAGCCTTATTATGTATCTGTAGGCGATATCGGCACGCATTGCAATTTTGTAACTCTGTCGTTCGTCTTCGTCTTGTCTTTACGTCGATTACGTTGCAATCGTCTCGGTTACCTTGTATGATGTTGCCGGATGAAATTTTGATGTACTTCCAAAGAGTTTTTCTTAGATTTCTAATATTTTCAGCTTATTTCAATGCTTTTTATTTTAAATGGGCAACATCGGAATTGTTTACATTTTGGTTTTGCTTAAAAGTGTTTTGGTGAAATATAAGGAAAATTAATTTTTAAAAATGTATGCTGCTATAGCGCTAAAGGACGCCGAGGAATCCGAAGAAAGGGAAAGGCGAATACAGAGGAGCAGATTGCGAGACCACACCAATGTAATGGAACTACCTGAGACTGAGTAAGTTCAAGATTAGGAAATAATTTTTGTATGCTACAATGTATTCGTTTCTAGATTTGTTGCAAATTTCCGAAGCAATAAAGAAATATTCCAATACATATTAAACGAATTAAAAGAGCACATGGCTCCATCACATAGAAGCACCCACCTATCGCAGCAGCTAAAACTTGCGACTTTTTTAAGATTTCTCGCCACCGGCAGTTACCAAAAATCTGTTGGTAACGAAAATATTTCGTCGATGGGGCAGTCAACTGCAGCCAACGTGATCAGGGAATGCCTAAATATTTTTGAGGACCATTTTTGCCAGAAATGGGTGAATTTTAGGAGAAACATCGATGAGGAAAATGCAGTTAAAGAATATTTCTTTGAGAAATACAGAATACCTGGGGTTATTGGTTGTGTTGCTGGAACACACGTTCGTATTAAGTCGCCAGGAAGTGACAACCACCATTTATACCTCAACCGCAAGGGTTTTTACAGTCTTAATGTAATGGTGGTAGGTTAATGATTTACTATCTTTACAAGTATACATATACACAAACTGAGTTTCCTTACAGATATGCGACCACAACATGGTAATCACATTTGTTGACGCTAGGCATCCAGGGGCGAATCATGATTCATTTGTTTGGAATGTAAGTCACGCAGAACAGGAGCTAAAATGTGATTATAACAATGGAAAAACCAACACATGGCTACTCGGTAAGTTTTAAAACTTAAAAAGGCTATAAAACTATTACTGACAATGAAAATTTTTGTAGATGATTCTGGTTACCCCTTGCAGCCATACTTGATGACGCCATTCAGAAGCGCAGCCGATGAAATTCAACGAATTTAAACACAAAGCACTCGAAAGCTCGTAATGTAATTGAGAGATGTTTCGGTGTTTTGAAAAACCGATTTCGATGTATAATTGGCTCGAGAGGGCTACACTATTCACCAGAAAAAGTTACACAAATTGTTTATATGTGCTGTGCTATTCATAACGTTTGTATATTTTTCAAACATCAAATTCCATTGGAGAGCCCAGATATGGAGAATCTTGTTAGTTACGAAGAAGAACTGGAAAACAGTAACATTTCGAATACAGCTGCCCTTATTAGAATGAGAATAGCAGAGAGTTTGTTATAAACGCAGTTTTATTATAAAGTATGTGTGTTTAGATTTCAGGTACACCAGCAAAATTCATTTGTCTTAAAATTAATAAAATATTTACATAAAAATTCAACAAAATATCTTTTCAGTCTTAAATCCTAAATCTACATATAAACTAAGTAAATGCAACAAAATATCAATTCACACTTAAATCTAAAAAATATTTACACAAAAAAAAAAACAAAATATCACTTCAATACTCTCACAATAGTGGTATGAAAATTAATTCCGGAAGTACTCCAAAAATTTTTCAAAAATTTCAGATTGCCGTTCCACTGCAGCAGTTAATTTGTTTGTGGCATCCACCTGCAGCATTGATGCCTCTGCCATTTTTTTGCAGCCTCAGCCTGCACTTTAGCGGCTTCTGCTTGGACTTTGGCAGATTCAGCCACTGTCTCTTGGAAGGTGCGCTTCCTATTAGTGGAACGTAACGTGTGCGTTGGTGTAGGACGGGTTGTCTGTGTAGTGGGAGTCACTACTCCCACTGGTGGTGGTTGGTTGTGCCTTATAGGAGATTGAAGGGTGGTTGTTTGTTGCCTTCGTTGGTCAAGTGTTGGCGATTCGGTCACAAGTAAAGGAGGCATTTCCTCCAACGACGAATGTCTTGACATGTTAGAGGTCACCGTCGAAGGAATGCCGAAAACTCTGCCGCTCGGGGCTGCTGACCTCGAAATAAAAACCAGGCTGTCTATGGCCTGCTCCATTTCGGAAAGCGGAGAGTGACGGAATGGGCCACCACCGGTAGCAGTAAGGCTTCGTTTGTTTTCGGCAAACTTCTTTTTTGTCCGGCTTTTCACGTCAGCCCATATCTTGAAAAATAAAAATAAAATAAAATTCAAGCATTTATCTACCACATACAATTTATGCACTTATGCTTACTTTCTTCCATTCGACGGCCGTTCTTGTAGGAGGACCATGAGAATTAATTTTCCTCATAATTTCCTCCCACCGCTCCTCTACCCTTCCTCGATCAGATCCAAACACTGCAACACCTCTGGCCAGGTCAGGATTTCTCTCCATTTCTTTTACCAGTACTTCAAATTGAGTGGTTGTAGTTTTTTTCAGCGCTACAAGCATAAATATTAATATATTTCCTTAAACCAAGTTATATTTTTTTATTTTCTTACTTTTCCTGGCAGAACCCTCCATCTTAACGATCACTAATAACCTTTCGTCTGCTTTCAACGATTGTCGTCTCACTTTCGTCTTCTATTCGCCTTAAAAAATTCCAAACTAGACGAAAACTACGTAACGATCAGCTGTTTTCGTGCTGCCAGACGATTTCGACTTACATACTACCAACACACGAAATAAACGTCTGGCAGACGAAACGAACGTTCGCTTCGAGATACATGATTAGGCTGTCAATTTTCAAAAAAACTATAAGCCTCCGGAGGGTGGGGTTTTCAGATTTACAATCACAAAAAGCCGCTCTAAACCCCCTCATTTTTGTTTTTTTTTAAAGCCGGGTTCCGTATTGGAAAGTTTTCCCAAACAGCTTCCCATAAAAATACAATCGCCGTTCGGAGTCGGCGTAAAACTGTAGGTCCATCCGCTTTGTGTGATAAATCAAGGCGCACGCCACAAGTCGGAGGAGAAGCTCTGTTATGTAGCTGCGTATTTGTACCCGGCGATGCGGCATGCAGGCACGCTTGCATCCCAAGCTAGCTCGTCGGTTGGGGGGGGTTGTCATTTCCGCCTGCCTTGGTAGTCGCTACACAAACAAAAAGTTAATCCTGCCTGGTGATACGGAGAAATACTAGTGCGGATGGTCACAAATAACAAAGAGAAATAAGAAGATGAGCAAGAGAAAGCACTACAGATAAATGGTCCAGTCCCGTCCTGTCAGGTGGAGTCATCCCACCCTTCTTCTGCGTGAACTCCACGCGAAACCTTGGGCGTTGTCGTGACTCCTCACCTTCTTACAACGCCCCCTAAGCCTGACACACGTCCGTCTAACAATCAGTCAGTCATGTCACCTCAGTTGTCGTAGCGTCTTCACACTCCCTCTTCCCCTCTGTTGCACAAGTGCAACACCCACACCAAAAACCTGTGCTTAGCACTCCATTACTCAGCTGAATTCCTATCCAAAACAAACAAAAAAATTTCACTCCATATTTCTTCTTTTCTATCTTAGCTCTACAATTCACAACTTTATTATTTCCTTTCTTTGTTTTTGTATAAGTGCTTAAGAGTATACCCTAATGCTAACTAATTCCTACTGGGCTAACTATTACATAAATATTTATAGTATCTCCTACTTTGACCTTAGTTTACTGCACTTAATCTAATGGTTTTCAATTACTCCATTAACAGTGAAACCTACGTAATCTTATATATTCGTGCCTATTACCTATGTCCACATTAATCCTAACTCAATATTTTCAATACTTCTAAACTCCGCTTTAGATTTTAATAATTCACAAAGAAAAAAACGTGATAAGAATGTATCTGCCTACCCAAATACATATATACCGGGTAATTGAATGTATGTTTGTACTTATGTATATATTAAATATGTATGTACGCTATAGTAACAAGAGAAATCAATTCAAATCGTACTCACCTTGGTCTCCAGCGATGATGGTACCAGCATGCTGTCGAGAACCTGTGTGGAGTTAGAGAATTTCCTACAAATGGTCATACATACATATTCACTCCCTCAGCCTATGCTCTGAGTTCTTTACCTACTGCCCTACTCACAGTATTATCACACGCTCGTGGTTCGGGGCATCGAGCGGGTCATAGTACCGCGCGGAAACCTTAATTATAGGCCAAAAATGCGGTATAAATAAAAATTACTACTTACAAAACTAAAAATTAATACTAATCATAAACTGCCCGTAAAAAAAACCCGAGAAAGTGCTGTGCCGTCTAAAACGGGGATTGGAAAAAGTGCGAAAAATATAAATTGTGTACTTATGTATGAGCAAATACAAACGGGCGTACGTACATATGGATATGCATATATTCATCAGGGTATGTATGTGCGTATGTATGTGCTTATATATGTACACCTATAAACCTATGTACATACATAAGTCAACATGCGGTTGATATAAAAAGGTGGTACTGTTGAAACTAAACAGAAAATAAAACTGAGTACCAGCAAAAAGCATTTGAATCAGTGATCCTAAGTACTTAAATATTATTCAGACGTGATACTATAGGAAAGTTATGTGAAAAATGCGAATTTCCCTAAAAAAAGCAAATACATGGCATACATATATTTTACTTATCCAACTAAAAAAAAACGGAATTAAAAAAACAAAGGAATGCGGCTATGTAAGAAAAAGGTAACTAAAATTCTAAATACAAATTAAGAGAGCTCCAAATATCTATGCTAATGCCCATAACAAAACAAAAACCAAGAGAGCTGATCGCTGGGTTTTCGGCGCTGCTGCTGGTCAGTGGCGTAGGCGTAGCGCCCCACTTATGTATGCTCCCGCGGCGCTGCTACTGTTGTCTCGTCTCTTTCTGTTGTTAACATTCCTTTCCCAGCGGCTATAGGCCTGCTACCACTAGAGTGGCGTCGATGTTGATGTCGTTGGCTGTGATGTGATGTGATCCGTGAATAGTGTGCTGTGCGATTGATGTGATGTAGGTGGCTTTTGTTCCCTTGGTGCAAGTATACAGGTGTCGCTAGTACGTGCGGATGTGTGATAATGTGCTTTCTGTAGCTCGAGGCTAGTGGCAGAGATCTTCACTGTAGGCTCGTGTGAACGTGTGCTTAGGTTTTTTTTTTTGTTTGTTTAATTGTAGCTCTGAGTCCGGTTCCTGTGTGGAGATCGTTGAGATTGACGCAGATTTCTCAAAATCGTGGCTTTTTCAGGTGACAAGCGAGTGGAGGTCCTTTCGCTTACATTAATAAATGTGCCGGCGACCTGGAAGAAAAACAAAACTCTCACTCAGTATATTGGCTAGGGCAGTGGTTGAGCGGTTACAGGGTTATAATTTTGCCTTCCGCCTACATAAATGTACATAACTTAGGTGACTGGCAGGCGTATGTACACATATGTATGTATATGCAGATTCGAATCAGAGCATTACGTGGTACTTACCTCCCGTTCCAAATTTGACACTATATTGCAGCTTAGTGATCACCGGTGCCACAGATCCGTAAAAAAAGAAAACGCACAATTCGCACAAGTATACGCCGATGCATATACATATATGAACTTTGTATATTTTAACACCTTTTTTTTTTTTTACTTTAGATAACTTTGCCACTAAAACACTCGAAAATAACCGCGATGGCACCGTAACTTTCACATCTGACCCGTTCGCCACCATCTGGGTCATTTTATACCCTCCAGCCTGACTAACTGGCTCAATCGGTATCTGTAAGTATATAATGTACTTACATACCTAGGTACCTGTGTACATGGGTAACTAAAAGGAAAAACCGCTTTTACCCATACACCTTTAACTTTCGTTTTACCGAGCACTCCGAACTTTCTCTGAGTACCATATCATTAACGTTTGACCAACTATGTTCGATCAAACATCCATGACCGCCTACAGGCACATTTGGTCAACATAGATGTTTGATCACACTACCTATGTACGTATGTTCGATCCACATACCCACATACATATACACTCCGCTAACATAGATGTACGATTTACTTATGTTTGGTCCCCTTCTTCCACACATACATGCACATACAGAAGTATCTGGCAAACAGCTGGCGCTACAGGCTCGGTCCGGCCGATGGTGCCTGCATCATGGAGCGTATCCGTAAGAAGATTTCTAACGCGGCTGGTTGCAAGGTTTTATTTCCGCCTAACGTGTGGCCTCGACCCA